CAACCTGCTGCCCTCTGGTCGACGTCTCAGCTTCACTAACTTCTTCCCACTTCATGCTGAGTACTGGTTTGTCACTGGTAAATAATAATATAGATTTTTCCTGAACAGTCTTCTTCACCTGAGAAAGGATTTCACAATCATCCAGCACTTTCATGGATGTTAAGGCCAAACTTAGCAGCTTGGCAAGAAGTGCTGGAGTAGTTCTTTACCTTCTCACTCCTGCACACTTACAGGTTTGCACTGAAAGCTCCTCGGACCCTGTGCTTTGAGTTTGCAGAAAAAGTCCCACACTTGAAACGATCTTTCAGCTGATTTATTTATGAAGAAATAACAAAACATATCCTCCCAATATGCATGAAACAACTTCAGTAGGCGAGCGTGTATAAAAATGGCCCCAATTTCTCAACTATTTCTGCAACAGCTTCAGCAGCTCCTTTACTTACAGCTGAGAATCTGCACTTCAACACCCCGACTCAAAACAACCATGCATTTGAAATGTTTTATTATTATGAGGCCCACAGAGACGGCTGCACAAAGTCTGACAAACCCAAACAAACCTTTGAGTGGGATAGTAAAGCCTTTAGGACCGGCTGAGTCCACAGTTTGGTTCATTCTTAAAAAAAAGAATGAATTTATGAGCTGAAGGAGCAGAGAAGGCTAATGAACAAGTCTGCATTTAAAAATCACGTTTAATCCAGAAAACGATCGATTAGATTCTGATAAGAGCTCAAGTTGATTAAGGGGAAAAAAAAGATGCAGGAGTTCAGATTTTGTGTCAAAGGCTGCAAAACGCATGAACAGAGTATAGATGGCCGAGCAAAGCTTTAACAGTCAAAATGAGCCAGAGGAGGGCATGAGGGTTACTATCAATATATCAATAACATTATCAATGAACATCACTAGGCTTGTGCTGCCTTGGTGCTGAGGATGAGGTCCTGTTATGTTCGACAAACACGTGGAAAAGTCACTCAAAGCTTCGTGAACTTTTATTGTTTTGTGTTTAAAAAGTATCCAATGAGCTGTTTGTGTGAACGCAGGTGTTTACGTGTTCGTGCCGCTGACGTCTGTGTTTCAGGCCTGTGGGTGATAAAGGTAGCGCAGTGAAGGTCATCAGATATTCTGCTCCTGCGCTCGGCGTCACCGTGCTGTGTGTTTCCTTTCACTCCTACAGCTGACAAACTTCAAACCAAAGCTACACACACCTCACCAGTGACAGAGCAACAAACATCCTGACCTTTCACCCACAGAACGACGGTGTGTGCACTCTCCACGCCACAGGTGCTTCCCCACGCCGACCTGACCACGAACACATTAATCCACAAAGCACACACACACTTACTCTGAGATATGGACAAAGATGTCAGCGCCGCCGTCCGATGGCGTGATAAATCCATGGCCTTTGGAGCGCGAGAAACATTTACACACGCCAGTAAACACGGGTCCCTCCGATGCACGAGCCGTCCTACACAGGAAGCACATTACAGAGAGAGGGACGTGAGCACAGACTGATGAACCAGCAGAAGCAGATCCCTCGTAAGATTCTTAAACACTCGAAGACCCGCCATATATGAAATAAGCACTTTATTTTGAAAGGTCGTTGGCTGCTAACCAGCTGGCTCCATCCTGTCTGCTCGCCAGGAAGTCAGGACTGCTGCAGGGCGACCTGCAGACAGCAGGGCTGGGCCTGAATGAGCTTTTACAAACATTTACTTTGAAGCAGATCTTATTATGTTCTTCAACAACCAGAGTAGCTTTGCACGAGTCACAGAATATAAACTCTTGTTTACATCATACAGAGCCCAGAGTGAAAAAAATACATCCAATACAGAGTAATTCATGTGCTCGTAGTTTAAAAGTTCATGTTTAAATTGAGTCTTCTGAAGAGCAGCTGACAAACTGACACTGAGCAGATGGTGTGCTGGTATGCACTGCTGTGTGTCTGCATCAGCACATATTAATCATTTACACGCTGCATGAATGCTGCATGAATGCTGCGAAGAGGACACGAACGATGGAAGCTGCGTTTCATTGTTAGACACAGAAGGTCTCACTGAACATGCTAATCTGAGCGTCTGATTAACAAACTGATCACCGTGCAGCGTCCAGCACGAGATTTGTGAACTTGTTTCCTCTCGTTAATATCTACAGATGTGTGTGTGTGTGTGTGTGTGTGTCCTCACGCTGAGCAGGTCCTGTTTCTGCGTGTGGGCAGAGGGCTGGGGATGAGGTAGCCTCTCATAGGGGAAGGCGAGCGATCTCTGCGTCTGCAGGCCGGGAGGTGCAGAGATTCTGAAGTGGGGGGAAAAAATCCTCAGTGTGTTACATTGCAACAAATTTCACGCGACAGTACGGCGAGCGGTTCGAGCAGGGAAACTGTGCCTGTAATACACGTGCAAATAAATGAAGCGTGGCCTCGCACTGAGATGCTAATGCTCAGTGTGTAAACCACCTCAGTGTGAGCTCGACGCCCTCACGATGAATCAGTCACATTAAACATCTCACAGCATCAGGGACGTTTAATTGAACCATCCCACCACCACTATGATATTAACAAGAACTGGGTTAACTGGCACAGTAGGTTCACATCAATGCAACACAAACTGTTCATACTTTGATCTGTTTACAGCGAGCGCTCTAACAGTGCACTGTTCCTAAGTTCATACTTATTTGCTTCTTTACTCTGTGTGTAAATGACTGTGCTAGTTTCTTCTGATGAAACTTAATTAACTCTGATATTTTCAGCCATAGAGCAGGACTGCACCATCAACTGGTATGATGAGCATAACTTGCACATTAATGCAGAAGAAATGATTATAGATCAGTTGGAGAGCAGACACTTGTTGACACATGTGGCCGTGACACTGGGACAGCTTACTCTGATGGCGCACTTACTTGGCTCATGCATATGGAAACGGTCCATCAGTGTCTTTGTTTTCTCTGGAGACTTTGAATTTTGGACTCTGTACCAGTCACCCCTCTAATACACACTTCTGAAGCAATGGTTTAACAGGTGGAGGCCAGTGAGACTGACTGGCCCCACGCTCACCTGACCTAAGTCTAACAGAGCACCTCTGGGACATCGTGCTTGGGTTCGTCTGACACCAACAGGTCGAACCTCAGACTGTCCAGGAGCTCAGTGATGCTCTGGTCCAGATCGGGGAAGCAATCAGCCCTGACATCATCTGTTATCTCATTGGGAGCTTGCCCCCATGTTGTCAGGCGAGCACGTGGGCGCCATACACACTACTGAGTTCCATTTAGAGTTTCTGCGATCAAATTGGACAAGGCTAATCTCATTAAAGTGCTGATGTGCCAGTCACATTGTAGGATGTTGATAGATTTTGCTCTGAAAATGAGCAAAATCTTAAATGTCAGGTGACACATAAGAGGGTGTTGTGTGTGTTTATACCTGGAGACTGTGGGGATCTTGGAGAAGGCAGTGGAGGGGTCACAGGTCGAGACCCCTTGATGGCAGTGTCTTGAGAGGACATGTTGGAAGAGGCAGAGTAAAGGATGGGGAGGGAGGAGGGGGGGCTCAGAAGGGAGCACAGCAGAGCGTGTTAACCACCTGGGAAAGAAAAGGAGATTTAGAGCACACAGCATGCTTACAAAGAACAGGGTTACCTAACTCTCTCCATT